CTTAATTTTTGTCTTGGATCAAAAAATAAGATTTCTTTTGTTTCTATATAACAACAGCAAGAGACGTACGTAGGCTTTTTCGATATTTAGTTTTTTCGCGAATTGGTGCACGATAGAAGAGAAAGTTACAGTTTTCACTATAAAAACGATACAAAATTGTTGATCAAAAAAAACTATGTAGTATAAAAACTTCTATGTACATCTTTGAAAACGATATTTCGAATGTACTGTAAAAATTTCGTAAAAATCGGTGAAGTTGTGTTCGAGTTATGTCTTCGGCCAGTTTAAAAAAAGTGATTTCGAGAAAAACGCGTTTAAAGTTGTATGGCATTCAGGGCATACCTGTGAGAAACTGCGGTCGAATGAAAAATTTGGACATTTATACATTTTTGCCGGCATCCATCTTTTGGTATGTTATTTCTAAGATCCTAAAGCACCTTTTAAGACTAAAAAAATTTTTTCGATTTTTTCCAAATTCTAGACCAGCTTCCCCCCTTAATTTTTTTAAAATATATGGATAGCAGAAGTCGACAAAATGTTCAGATTATTCTAATGAGATAAAATAAAATAATTATTTATAGAAAATATATATGTGAGCATCATAATATTTATCTGAAACCAGAACTTTTTGAAGTGAATTCTTTTCACAACTTTTTTTGCATACAATCAGCAACTTCTTCCTCTATACAAGAATGATCATTGACTTTTAATAATGAACACTACCAATATAAGAGATTATTAAATCAATTTTATATAGTTAAAAATACATTTAGCACGATACGTTTTTGAAAGTACGGATGATAATGAAGTAGAGCTAAGGATAGAGAAATGACAGGTCATTAACGCTTTGTTAAAATTGTATACACAGACATATACAAACGTATGTACATATATATATTAAAAAGGTTGAATTTCTTTTTATTTCCTTTTATTTCAACTAAGTTTGCAAAAATATATTTGAATATATTTAAAGAAATTATATATAGACAATATTGACGCAATAATGCTAGCTCATTATTATTCAACTATTTTCGTCTCTACACAAGCAATGAAATTTTTTTATACTTATACACATGTATATGCATGTATAAATATGAATATTTGATTTTGACATATTCACTTCCACTTTCAATGCCATCATCGTGACGCAACTTTATTTCCTTATATGTCAAAAGCATATTACCAAAAAAAAAAAAAAAAAAACAAAATGTTTCGCCGACATCGCTTTCTCATCATAGCAAAGGCTAATATAATTTTTTCGTACACATCAAATGCATATATATACATATATACATATGTATATTCATATGCGCGACACTTGACCTAAATATAAGCATTAAAATATATTTGATTTTGAAATACAACAAGGCGTATACGTAACCTTGAAATGAGCACAATTAATATAAATACATATGTCCAAAGTGGAAATACGTATGTATGACAAGGAGCATACCTTTCTTACTTGGTTTACAAAATTCAAATCAATACCCCCTGCGCAAATATATCGCATTTTAGTAACTTTTACAAAAAGCTTTAACATTTCACACAAACTCAAACAATTTGCTGAGCACAACAATGAACACAACACATCAATTCCATGTACACATACATACATACATATATTTTCTCTATAGTATATATGATATATATATATAAATGTGTTATAAGAACATAAGATATAAGATATGCCAAAGAGACTGAGGTGCTCAAGAATGTCATGGAATGTTGGGTTTCTTCAACGTGTTTATTTATTTTTATTTTTTCTTAAATATATTATACCGCTGTTACGTAATTAAGACCACGCAACTTGGTGTACGAGCTAAAACGTAAAAATATCCATATAGATATTTATATACTTAGGCACAGAGGTATATATATATATATATATATATATATATATATATATATATGTGTGTGAGTGTGAAAAAACGTGCTTTTTATTAGCACTTGTCAGCGAGCAACGCACAAACCATAAGCACATGCAAATACATATACATATTAAGCATGAACACGTGTTATGGTTGGCGCGAACTAAAACCAAATGGAAAACTACTCAAAATATTAGAAGAAGAAAAAACAATGTTTTAAATATGCACAATGGATTAATTAAAATTAATTTTATTTGCCAGAATGTTGCCTCATAAAGGAATAAAAATAAATTTTGTTTATAAAAAGTCGGTCACTTTTCAATCAATGCACATTTACAGTCAATATTCTGACAGTTATTAGTGTCAATAATTATATATTAAAAACTGACTAGCGCAATTGTAGAGCAGTTGTATAAACCTATTTCAATCAATTACATATATGCGCCTTACAAGGCTTCAACATACTAGGTTTTGTTTGGAGTTTCCACAACTTGAGGGAAATCCATTTCATTAACATAAAAAACGCTTAACTTAATAGCAATCACATGTTCAGTAATGGAAATTGGATTGCGGCGATAAAGTAGACCCATAACTCGAACGTATCAAGCAAAAGGAACCCGCACAATCGACATCGTAAGCTTATATTCACCACAAAAAGTAATTGTTTATATGTGGTGGCATTGCAAGTGTATTGTGTACCCTAAGCGGCTTTTAAGACAACAAACTATTTGTTCGAATAGTTATGTCAACCATAGAAAATGCACACAAAAATAAAAAAAAATGCTCTAAAATGTTCAATCGCCATTGAATGATGTTTTATAAGTTTTATAAAGATAATACCAGAATGAAAACCTCTTTGATAAGCCATCAGAAAATAACAGAGCATTATTAACACATTGACGGACAGTAGGAACAAGTAAAGTTCGAAAATTGACACTATGTGTTTTTGTAATTTTTAGAATATTTAAAGTATAGTTTTACTATTTCTGCTCAAATAAACTTAATTTTGTATAATTCAGCACCTTTAATTAGGTTGCGGCCATAACCGTCATGGCGCCAGCGCACTCTAGACTTGAAGTAACACAACTCAAGAGAAAACACGATCGCACTACTCCCTTCGCAACCACATGCGTACTGATGCTGCAAGTCGTGCAACAGATGGAAAACAAAATTCAACCTAAAAAATTGTTTCCAAAACACGACAATAGGCTTCTACTTGTACGCCGGTAAATGCACATTTGTGCTGCGATCGCCGCAGTGTCTGTAAACGACCGTTTCGTTTTAGACGGCTATCGCCGTCATGCCACATAGTGAACTTCGCTTTGACGGCCATAGACGCAAGTGTCCGTCAACGTGTTAAGAACTGATACTAATGGTGACTAAGCTTACCATCTTCAGGTTGCATAAGTTTTTCTCCCACAAAAATCATTTGATTAAAAAAAATTTTCTCTTAATATTAAACAATTATTTAAAAATTTATGGTAGTTTGGAGTGGTAGAAAAGAGTCAATTATATGAGAAATACAACTTTTTATAAAATTGTTTTTATTATTATTATTTTTTTTTTTTTGTAGAAATATGAAGAGAAAAATTTAAATTTAAGCTTTTGTATATTATTAAGAATATTTTTAAAAATATTTTTAAACATATTCTGTTATTTTTTATGTAAAGATATCAATCAGAACGCATTTGCAAATAGCTGATTTGGCGTGTGGCCTGTACTTCAGCTGGAAATTGTCCAAAAAAAATCTTAGCTTCACAGAGAAGACAATCTGGTTAATAACTTTTGGAATTTATCTCTGATCAACTTTAAATTCAAAGTTTCTGAAAAGTTTTTACACTACAAGTTAAAAAAAAGAAAAGATTTTTTGGTTCCACCTCTGCTTAATATATGTAACTGCGTTGATAATCGAATGCATATTATTTTTTCTTTTAATGGTTTATTTTACTTTTACGAAATACGAAATATGCCATTGTGAAAATCTCATAATTGTGAATGACATTTAAAATGATCGATTTTGAGGCATACAATATAATGGGGCTTTTCCAATATGACAGTTTTCAGATTTGCTTTATATTCCCTTAAAAACCGAAGAGAAAATGAAAGATTTTAATATATAAAAGTTAAAAAAAAAAAATTATTATGTTTTCTTTCCTAATATACAAATAGTGTATGGTTTCAAACAAATGCATATTTTTAATGTTTTCTTTTACAATTAACATCTAATTTGCTTTAATTTGTCAGCTGATTTTGTTAAAACTTCGATTAGAATTAGAGAGGGCATAGATTGGGTCGTAATTCGCATGGCAATTGCAATTGAATCACATACTTTTAACGTAATTCGATCATTAAATAATAATTAAATAATTTGGCAGGTAAGACATATATGGGCTGTAGTGGAAATTCCTTATAAATCACACAGTCATCATTTTCGACCTTGACTGAACATCAATTTTAGTTCATAACAAAGGCCTCTATATTGTACTCCTTCGATTTGGAGATATTTTACAGTTATGGTGCTATCTTTTAACGGCTGACGTTGAAACACAAAATAATGTTTTAGCTGCACATCGATTTTAAACATTAAACTAACTGTTGATTACCTTGCTTTTATTTTAGTAAAAATGTCAAAAAGGAAAATTTTCCGAAAATAATTGATGCTATAAATACCAAAGATTTTCTAATTCATATTATTATTCAAAATAAATTGTTTTACTTAAAAAGATATTTAAACATGAAAAGCGAATGAAGAATTAATCCATAATTATCGTAAAATTCATTTTATCTCTATTATATTTATGTATGTACATATGTCTTGATTACGTGTGCCTCCAACGACCCGATTGTCGTATTTATGAGCGAAAAAGTGCAAAAGAGCGTCAATGCTAAGGAGCAACGATACTCACGCATATGTTGCGGGTAATGCTGCGACAACACATGCTCACTCAACCAACAACGCTACTCAATGCAAAATGTTGGCCGGCTTGCTGGCAACTATGGTACTGATGATGCGTTTATGATGCGCTGATGCGTATGATGCTTTTGTGGTGGTGGTGGTGGTGGTGGTGGTGGTTTAGAATATATTCTTTTTAAGCAAAAGAGCAGAGAAATAGAGAGAGATACGGAACTCACCATAACACCAACAGGACGCTGTCGAGTTTGGCGGCTTGAAAGGTGATGTGCTGCTGCCATGCTGATGCTGATGTTGATGTTGATGCTGATGCGCCGCGAGTGCATGCGTATGCGCATGGTTGTGCTGTTGAAGATGCTGCTGCTGCTGCTGTTGTTGTTGTTGTTGCTGCTGTAGTTGTAGATGTTGTGAACTGCCGCCGTTGGGGCTCAATCCGCCGCTGGGCGTTAGAGTGCCCATGGAAGTGCCGGCGTTCGATAAGCGATCGCCATTGGAGTTATTGTTATTGTTGTTATTTTGGTTACCATTATTGTTGGACTCACGCTGCAGTTGCTGCTGCTGCTGCTGCTGGTGTTGTTGCTGTTGTTGTTGCAAATCCATCTGGTGATTATTATGATGCAGATTAAAATGATGGTGATGTTGTGAATTGAAATTATTTAAAATTGAGGGCGGCGACGATGACGGCGGCGACGTGGTTGCTGTGCTGGTGGCGTTAACCGCACCGACACCGACACCGACACTGCTGGCCGCCGCAGCCACTTGTGTGAGTAACGATTTAGTTGGTGATGTGATTGGCGATGATGTCAACGATATGGAGGAATGCTTATTGCCTAAATGCTGTTGCACCGCCGACGCTGCTGCTGCTGCTGCTGCTACGGCGGCTAATTGTTGTTGTTGTTGTTGTTGTTGCTGATGATGATTATAACTTGTATGTAAATTATTATTGGTGATTGTAATATTGCTGTGGCTACTACTATTGCTGCTACCACCGCCACTACCGAAATTGGTTGGCGATGAGGACGGCGACTTGGACATACTGAGTTGTGAGTGCAACTGCTGTTGCTGCTGTTGTAAATAATTCAATTGCTCTTGCTCCTGCCTGAGCTGCTGCTGCTGGTGTTGCTGTTGCTGACGCTGTTGTTGCGCATACAAGTCCATATGATTCAAGAATTGTTGCGCTGCATTGGCGCCGCCAATCAAATCGAAAGCGTTACTCATTAAGTTCTCAGCCGAATTGGCGCAATTCACCTGCAATTGCAATTGCTGTTGCTGTAGTGTTGCTGGCAAATTCGATTGGCTCATGTTCATGGAAGAGCGCCGTTATTTTGTATGTGCGGATGGCGGCGTCTATGCGATGGGAAGGGGGATGCGCCTATGCGACTCTTTAATATGAGTTGTTGCTCAGCGAGTTCAGTCTTTCAATAAAAATATATGTATGTATATCTATATGTTAATTAAAAATGGGCGTGGTTACTGTTGCTGCTAATGGCCGGAATTATGTATGTTTATATTTCTCTTTTGATTTCATTTGTGGCTTTCGCACTTTACTTGTTGTGATCCGACGATCTTTACTGAATATCGATTTCAGAATTCTCTTTTCTATCACTCTTTATGCAATTTACACGTTTCCCAACAACTCTAGTTGAAATATGGTTTTCGGTTTTTATCTCAGCCAGAGATTTTGTGCGTTATTGTCGATTTTTGCGTGACTCTCAGTGGATGGTTTGTACCTTCGCTTGGAGGTTTGTATGTGTGTGGTTGCCACTTTTACTACGTTGTGTAATTAAAATCGTAGTTGTTGTTGTTGGTTGTTGTACTAACACTTACGCTTGCCATTTAAGCATGCGTAAATAAATGTTTGTTGTTGGTTTCTATTCTCTATCTCTTAAACTTTTATTTCTTTTTGTTTGTTCAAACGTCAATCAATCGAGCACGCAGGCGAGAGAAAGAGAGAGAGAAAGAGAAGGAAAAGAAATAGAAAAACAAAAATAATAAATTACTTTATTGTGATTTTTCATTTGCGTATTTGTGTATTGCGAATTCGTTATACGCACAATGAGCTTGACTGATTGATGTAGTACATACATACATACAGAGATGTGTTGGTTTTCGGAAATATATATATATTTTTATTTTTTATTTTTTTGTTTGTTTTTTTTTTTTTTATTTGTTTGTTTGTGGTAAACGAGATTAGTTACCATAGTTTGCAGATGTCGATGAATGCTGGATGCATAGAGAGAAATGTGAGATAGGCAGTAGAGTTCGTTCGAGAGTGGCGATGAATTATTGATGAGATTTGGAGAATGGCAATTAGGTACACTTAATGATGCTTTCGATGACAACACTGCGTCCGCTTGAGATATGAGTGCTTGTTATTTATATATATATATTTTTGTTATTTTTTTTTTTGCTCTGTTTTTTTTTTTTTTTTTATTTTTACGAAAAAATTTTTTTTTTTTTTTTAATTATGAATTAAGTTTATTTTGCAAAGTGGTTAAGTATTTTTCGATTTTTGTTTTTATTTTTGCATTTAATCAAAATATGATAGTTTCGTAGATGAATTTTTATTATGGCTGTTATTATAGTAGTTGTGAATATTTACTTGAATTTATTTGACATGTATATTTGTATATATATATATTTAGGTGTATTTATATTTGTTTTTTTTAGTTTGAATATAAGCGACAACGACAACAACAACAACAACGATATATGTAAATATTTTATAATAAACATGTTTTTATATATGTACACACACACATATATGTATGTATATATATATATATATATATATATATATATATATATATATATATATTCATTTGTATATATTATATATATATATATATATATATATTTATTTTGTACACAGCAGCAGCGCTAAACTTATTAATATCCTTTGGTGATTTGTAGTGCGACTTTTTGTACGAATGTATGTAACTATTTAGTGAGCATTTACGATAGATAAAAGCCCAATGTTAATTGCGCGTAGTGTTTTTGATAAGATTTGATATTTGATAGATTTGTTTTTTGCGTTAAGTTAGAAGAAATATATGTAGTTGTGTAGTCCGATGAGGATATGCACTAGTAAATTTCTATATATATATATATATATGTATGTAGTTGAAGATATTAACTTATTTAAAATGTAAGCGAAAAAAAAATTACACTCGTGAGAGAAATATTGATGAGTGCAAAAAAAGTTTTTCAATTACATAAACATTTATTTTTTATATCAATAAATACAGTACATACACCACACCAGTGTTTTGTATCAGGTAAACCGCAAGTTATTAACTGAATTTCTGTTACGTCTGTATATTATATTTTATATTATTTTAAGCGCGGTGCAACAGCTATTTCAACGTAATATGTAGTTATCGTCTATGAAAAATCATGTACGAATTATAACCGATATCTTGCCATGTATGTATGCATATCTGTGTGAATAGGCATGTTTATTTAATGGTTTTTAATGGCAATGAATGTGTCAATATATTACTTGTATTCCTGTTAAGAAATTTCACTAAACAAATTTCAGCGGCTAGTTTATGATTTATTACTATTTTGAGTTTAATTTTTTTTTAATAAAAAAAAATTGATTACAAATGATATATTATTTAAATCCTTTTATTTATTTGAAAAAAATGTACAATTAATTAATTATAATTTATTATAGTTATAAGCTTTATATAAAATATTTTATTGTAGCTAAATTTTTGCAAGCTCCATAACAATTGGTTACCCTTATGGTTGTAAAATTGAGTACTGATTAGATCAGTGAGTACAAAACAATTTGCTTTTAACTAATGCCGAATTATTTACATATAAATTTTAGAGTTCAGATTTAATGAGTTGCATATTTTCCTAGAATTTAAAATTTTTCACTTCGAAACTGATGCCAGAAGACCGTAAACTGAGGTGCTCTCCAATATTCACACCCAATTACAGTATTAATTGCTAATTTATACAATTTAACATTTATAGCTAAACTGAAAATCTGCAAATTCTAAAATACTGGGAAAAGGGAATGAATTTAAATTGCGTTAAGGATAACGAAACCAAAATTCTTTGACTTTCAGCAGAAAGCCAGAAAATACCATAGCTTTAAATATGCTTTGATATTTAGAAGCTAAAACTTTTTTTTTTAAATAAATAAAGGTAATTCATCTTCCCAAATAGATAAAATAAAATATTTTATAACCAAGATAAAAGTTCTTTTTAACAAAGAACGATCATAAACTCATTTAATATGTAACAACTTCATTAGCTTGAGGCTAAAAGTAAATTTCTAGTAGTTAAAAAATTTTTAAATGTTTTAATTTTTTTCACATTACAACTAATTTGTGCTTTAAAAAATATATCACTTAATTCTCATTAATCAAAAAATATTTTTCCAAAGATTTATTTTATTTATTTTTCATTTGAGCAAAACCGCCAAAAATTTGTTGTAAAATTTCTTGTTTTCATATATTTCTCTCAAACCATTTACCGTTCTAAATGACACTTCTTAGTACAGCGTATGTCGTTTACGTTTAATCACTGCTCCCTCCTCTTGATTCAATACCGAAATCAGTTTTTGCTTCAGCTGCACTCCAACGTCTTTCTCGTTTCTCTTTTTATCTATGTACGTATGTATGTACAAACGTGGCTGCACTGACTCTGAGAGCTTGGTTGATTGACTCGTTGCCTGACCGAGTGACTTACTAACTGACTGACAATTGACAATGAGATTCGCCGATCCCAATTAGGGAACGATGACAAATGCAATGACGTAATTATTCTTGAACTTTGTGTGATTCAAATGCAATTGCGTTGTGTTGCTCACAGTTGCAAACTAATTATTATTGGTGAAATGCTAGTATGTTGTGTTGCTCTTGTGATTTTGCACTTCCAATGATTTCATTTGCATTCGATATGTATAGCCTCTCTGAAATACATAGGTGTATAAATGGATGTATGTGGGAGTGAGTATGTATGCGTCAACTCATTTACTCAATTCACACTTGTGATGCTAATGCTGCTGTAGTTGTCGTTGATTTTGGACGCTGATGACGTTGCTGATGTTTATGTTGAATGGCGCAAATGTTGCCGTTCGATACGAATTGAATTTTCGATGAGTATGTTTGTATAGTAAACGCTGAATTTTTGGTTTTGTTGTAAATTATTTCATGATGCTTGCCGCCTATGAGATGCGATGCATTTGTTGTACATTAAATTTATGGATGTAGATGTTTTGAGAGTATTTGTAAAGTTCGCGATTAACACAAGTACATATGTATGTGCTTATCAGTATTTACATATGACTGAGAATACGTTTTAAAATGAGTTTATTCGCAAATGCTTCGAGCGACTTATTTTCATAAACACAAATACACAAAATTTTATGTTGTTTTTTATTTTTTTTTTTTCGTAAGTTGGTGATCGGTATCATGGACTTGTAAATAATTATGTATGTTATGAGTTCTTTCTGATTGTTTCACATATTTTTACTGATGCACAATCAATCACGTAAATGAACGTTTTAATTAAATAATTATCCATAAATATCACATTTGTTATTTCACGATTTTTTGAAATTTGATGTAAACTTGATGACTTTTTGAATAATGTTTTTCCTTCTTATGTTGATGTCTTTTTTCCTTTTGGAAAGTTTTAAAGCACTGGTATTTTCAGGCTTACACTGGGAATGTTTATGTATAAACTAAACATTGGAGTGAGAAATATTTTTCTTAGTTAAGAGATTGTATCAATTGGATTCCAAATAACAAAATATATACACACAATATCTGTATATATGTACGAGTATATATTTATAATAACTAATTTAAATTTTTTTAACTTTTTATGCTATATTAATTTATATTTATATGCTTTTATTTTTTAACTCATTTGATTTAGTTTTTTTTATACCATTTTTTTATTTATTTATTCCATTTTATATTTATTTATTATTATATTTTTTTATTAATTTTTTAATTTATTTATTTTTTTTTGCACTTTATTATATTTCCTTTTATTTCATTCTATTTCATTTTATTTTATATTTTTTATTATATTTAATTTAATTTATTTTTTGCCTTTAACTTTTCTTCTGTAAATTAATTTATTTAATTATTATTTTTTTTATTTTGCTCTTTACTTTTTTCTGCAATTTAATTTATTTTTATTTCATTTTAAGTAATTTAAAATTATATTATCTTACTTAACTTGATTTTATTTATTTTTTTTATACTTTTTTATTTTATTTTACATTATTTTGTTTTGCTTATTTTAATTAATTTTATATTATTTTACTTATTTTACTTTATTTTATTTTTTTCTTTTTATTTTATTTTATATTATTCAATTTCATGTTATTTAATTTTGTTTTGTTTTAGTATATTTTATTTTTTTTAGTTTATTTCACTTTTTCTACTTTATTTTATTTGATTTGATTCAATTTTATTTAATTTAATTTAATTTTATTTTATTTTATTTTTTTTTTTTGTTNAGTTTATTTTATTTTATTTTATTTTATTTTATTTTACTTAATCTTTTTAAAATTAGTTTATTTTATTGTATGTTATTAAATTTTATTTTATTTTTTTTATGGTGTGATTTTATTTTATTTTTTACTTTATTAAATATTTTTTGTCTTATTTATTTATATATTTTTTGTAGTTTATTTAATTGATTTATTTCCTCTTTTAATATATATTAATATATTTTGATTTTATTTGTAGTTATTTTAAATCATACAATGCAAATTTAAGCCCAAAAAACTCAAAAATTTGTAGAAGTGTTTAATAGAATATTTTGCCATTCGTTAGTTAATGGTAATTTTAATGTATATATTCTCGCTAATATTTGTTTTATTACACACCATTTTATTTCCCTATTTTCACGATTTATTGTAGCATGAATGCCACTGGTAATAAATAATAACTGCCCGTTAAATAAACATTCTTTTTTTCATAATTTATCTACGTGTTTTATATATGTATTGTAATTAAACAAATTATTATAATGACCTTTTGTTTTTCCTCAATGCACGATTATTAGCAATCAATAAATAAAAGTTACTGTGTTGAATATTAGTTATGTGGGTATATGTAAATGTATGTATTTAATACATTTGACTTTTAAAAATAGATTTTAATTCAATGATTTTTACTTTTTTATAAATATTAAGTTCTATGACACAAAGATCAATTAAAATTTATTATTTCATATTTTATAGATGTTTTTGATTTCTCACTTTTTTAAGTCAATTTTCATTTAACGCAAATGAACATTTTCAAAATTCGTTTTTAAATAGCAAAGTTTTTAAGTAAATAAAATTCACTTTGGAGGATGTGGTGATAATATTTCTTATTAATAATTGTATTTTATACAATCTGTCTTTGAGAGTGCTCATTTGCTCAAAAATCAAATGCTAATATGCATTACTTTTCAAATTCAATGCCGTTCTAGTAGGTTTTTTTTATAATTTTTAATATCTCACTTCCGCACGCACATATTTGCATTCAATGACACTAAAGGTTGGTACTGATGAATGGAAAGATGGCAAGCGATGGAGGAAAACCACAAAAATAAACGAAATCTAATGGTAAATAGAACCGTTATTTCGCTGTAAAAGTTCATCTGAAGTTAAGCAAGCAGCAAATTTAGATATACACTTGAACTCCCCTAACTGTGGAATACGGAATATCGTGTCCGTTAATTTTATATTTTTTATTTTTATAGACTTTGGGAAAACACCTTAACCTCAAGGTCAAAATATTTCAATGCCACCGAGCGGAGTCATGCAGCAGATTCATATATATGTATTTATGTACATACATACATAAGTATGTTCAAAATTACGTGTGCAATATGCATACGTTATGTGTGTATGTCGGTAACTGTATCGGAATGCACTGTTACTTATATGCACGCGCTCTAGCCACGTTAAATTGTCACTTGAGCCAATCCACTTAACCAACTTCAACCACAAATGAAAAACTTCACGCCACTACTACTTAAAAGCTAACTAACCAATGCTCTGTGCGACCGAACAAACGTCACGACACGCTGCGCTACAAACTTCCCGCTCAACTCACAGCTTGAAAATGATTGAAATGAGCAAATTACAAAAACTGAATTTTAACGATGTATTGAGCGAACGATAATACAACGATAATACTGTAGTGAAGTATAAAGCTGAGCAAAAAGCGAACGACAGTAGGTAGAAGGCAAAAGGCAGAAATCAAACAAAAATTGAAAAGAATGTGAATATTTATTATCAACTAACACACACGCGTATATGCATACATACATATGTACCTATATATTATACAATATTTATACATATGTACATGGTGAAGTTGAGCCACAAAAAGGGGACAAAAATATCACAAAAACCACAAATATAGAAATAAAATTAGCAACCAAATCGCACCCACAAAGAATGCTCAAAATTGAATTTAAATTTTAAACGACAACGATTTTTTTCTTTTTGTACTGTTTCTTTACTGCGCGAACGGTACGCAGCCAAATAAAAGAAACAAGTGAGCATTACTTGAATAAGATTAAAATAAAATGTCAAATATATTCAAAATAGACACTTGAAAGTATAAGTATGTAGACAAAATATAAATACAAGCATATGTACGTCAACATGAAATTCGATTTGAAAATAATGTCAAAGTAACCAAAATGTGTGGATCTGAATTTGAGAATAGGTTTTGACAGGTACTACAAATATTTTTTAAAATTTCAACAGATGAAAAATTTTTTTTATTTCAATAAATCCTAACATTAATTAAAAATTTTACTTGACTGCTTCCGTTGCGCTGAAAAATGACCCAAACCCAAAGCTTTCAAGCTGCAATATGTAGGTACTGTTGCTGTAGTGAAACGATCTTAGAATTATTTAAAAATATAACCCCGCAAATGGTTGACTTTCCAATGAACTTTTATATAGACAAAGCCCCCATGTCTTAATAAACAATATACAAATGAACAACCGTTAGTTTAAACCCCTCATATACAGTACAGAAGTATGTAAACCTTTGTATAAAAAAATTAAAAAAAAAATTTTAAAACAAATTAAAAAAAAATTTATAAAAAAAATTTATAAAAAAAATTTATACACGTTTTTTTACAATTTTTTTTTTTTAGATAAATGAACTAATAAAATCATGGACCTTAATATATTTAATATATAATATTTTTTTTCATTTATGAAGAGAAAATGTTTTCGATTTTTACTTAAATTCATTCAAAAAAAATTTTTTTGTATATATTCATCTATTGTGAAATTCTTAAATTTCGTCAAAATTCCTAACAGTGTAGATATTTTCCAATGAGGCAGCAAAAATTGCCAACAACAGTGTGAAGGCGCGCTATTGGCACCGCTTGAAGCGCAGAGTCCACTGAGCTCGTGCGCCAATTTATTACGCGAGTATTACCTCACCAAATGCCAGCCAGTTACTAGTTACCATCACGCAGCAAGAAACAGCGAGCCAAACGCGCAGTAAAAACAATTATCTACCTGTCGTTCAGCAGCGAACAACAGCGAACAGCAGCTGCTGAGAGACAACACAGCGACATCATTGAAAATAAAAATAAAATAAATTAAAAACGAAAAGAGAACAACAACAAAATCCGTATAAAATTGAACAAAATACGCAAAATATTTGGTAATAAAAGCACAGAATATGCAAAATGTGGAACCAGTTAGCCAGACAGCATAAAAAAAGAAAAAAATAAAAGATAAAAACAAGTAAACAAACAACAACACCGAGCCACCGATCAAGCAGCTCACGATCAACGCAAATTCATTCAAACACGCCAACAGTCAGTCAACCAGTTTGTCATTCAGTCACTCATTCATTCAGTTAGTCGGTCAGTCAGTCAGCTAGCCAACTATAAATGCGGACAACAATTCTACTTTTTCTCGCTCGCTGAGTTGGTTTCATATTTTTTTTATTTAACACAAAGAATGTATATTTGTATTAATGTATGTATGTAACATATGAAGATACTTAACAAGTACGACGTGCGCACAGAATATGGGAACTAGGGACACAATAGTACAGTTGAAAAGCAGTAAAAAGGTAGAGATAAAAAAAAAACAACAAAAATCTTACGATACTGTCAAGGAACTGAAGTCAAAAAAATTAATTAGTTGAAATACCTAAACAACAACAATATATACAGATATGCATTTATATATATATACATAATATAAGTACATATAAACGTATAACAGTAGAATTGAAACCCTCACAAAGCAATCAAACCAACTAAAACTGAATACGTAATTTTAACGAGCGCACGGTGGGTCAGAATGTTAAAAGAAGCTAAAAAAATATAGAAAAAATGTATGAGAAAATGAAGTGGAATACATAAGATGGAAAATAAGGCAAATATTAAATTAAAAATATTAATGCATAAGAAAAGTCACTTTTGTGGTTACAAAGCACCATTTGAATTATCCACTGCATCCAAAAATAAAACTTTTACATGAAAAAAACAACGCTAATTCATATCCACCTATATCCTTTACACATATGATACATATACTTTTTATAAAACTGCATATTCTTGTCTTGTCTTGTTTAGCATATTTTTCCAATCAAAAAATGCTAAACACAAACAAAATACCTTTGACAACTATTTTTTCTTATATTTCCTATAAATAAAACGCCAATTTTATAAATTTTCTGACACATACACATCCATTGCTCTTAATAATTTCAACAAAATCAAAACCTGTTGCTTTATAATTTTATGACAACATACTTTTGTTTGAAAAAGCCAAAGGTAGTCTTAGCATTATTTTCAGTGTCAAGAACGCATTTCATGAGATCAGCTAATTGTATGTATACTACATCATGTATGAATATATGTATAAAGGCAGTGTTTATTTTCCAAGATATTTGTAGTATACAACAAAAAAAATAACAAATCAAGTTTGTAATAATTTCTTAACCATAACTACGATTGTTTATAACTAATGGAAAATGAATTTTATTGGCCGTGAACAGCATCACTGCCTTGAATATTAAAATAATTTATATTTACACATTAATGCATGACGTCACTTTAAAACAAGTTTTTTTTATATTTTTTTTTTTAGTTTTTATAAATTCTGTGGGTGTGCACAGGCGACATCAAGTAGGTGAACTTTTGAAAAGTTGACTTTCATAACAATAGTGCACAACGAGTAGCTATATATATAATTTGCGCTTTGTAACTGCTGCAGCGATTTTCGACTGAGCTGCTATTTAGTCATAAAATGTCATTAAAATGTTTGGGCGCAGAATGTTACTCATACGCCGTGTCGCAAACTATTGCCTGGAAGGTTAAATGTTTTATGAATTTATGACAACTTAATAAATAACTGTAAATCTGTAAGTAAAATTATCTATATGTTTATATTTTAAATAATCAAAAACATATTAAGTTTAGTTTTTAAAAGTGCTAATTTTGAAAAGTATTAACACATATATAAATTGAACAAATTTATCGCTATTAAACCTTGCACTTCCTTTAGAATTATATAAATATGGAAATAAATAAAGAGATATCAATTTAGCTATATAAGTTTTGACAATAATGTTATATTAGATTTAGAAAATTACTGCACAACTACCCATCACTACCGGCGAGTTTAAAAATGAGACGATTTTTTTTTTAAATCTGGGCTAACTTTTTTCAACTTATTTCAAATTCTATTCCAATTTCCTTCGAGTTTTATTATACTTTTTTTCTAAATTTTTCCTTTCTAATGCTTACATATCTATAAGCAAAGTATGTTGTTTTTACCATATTTTTGTTATTATATTTATTTTAAAGCATAAATAAAATGATCATTGTAAATACCTACAAAGTTACAAACATATTTAGTACTAAACGTATGAATTAACCATACTCATTATGTATGTATATATGTTCATGCATTTACTCATATGCAAGGTATAATTATTCGTTAAATATAAACAACAACCTTGGCAATAACAACAATGCGCAACCATTAAAATAAATTTAACCAGCAGGCAGCTCGGCACAATTTAAAAAAAAAAAAGTTTAGACACATAAAAGAAAACACATATACGCATATGTACATATGTACGTAAACGTGAATACGGTGCTGTCAATTATAGAAATGAACAGCTGAGTAAATTAGCTGGTCATTTGATATAGTGGTAGAAAAACTACGCTCGGTGGCCAGCGACTACATAGCGGAACAAAATAAAAATAATAGTAAACAATGAAAAACAAAAATCTAAAAAATAAATAAATAAAAATTACGAAAAAATTGTAGTTATTTATTTGTTCAAGTGTACATTTTAGAAAATTTAAATAACATAGAGCAATAAAAAAAAGTTATAAAAGTATTTTAAGTAAAAAAACACATATAAATAAAATTCATGCATATGTACGTACATGTACATATTTATTTATAATTTTTTTTTTTAGAAAAATGATATAATAGAATTACAAAATAAAAAAATTTAAACTAATTAACTACAGCTAACGCCAAAATATCCGTTTCAAATAAGAATTTCACAAAAAAATATGCATAATAATAATCAATTTCAAAGTACAAAGCCAACGTATAACACTAACATTAGGAGGTGAAAAATTTATTTAAATTTATCTTAAAAAAAACTAAAAAAAAAAAAACTAACGAGCACAGCGTCACTACAAGAGTAGGTTAAGGCAGCTAGGCAGACACCAAATGACAGAGAACCGTTGGGAAGGCTACTAAGCATCATTGCACGTTGATGTTGACGTTAGCAGTCGCGTCAGCATATCTGAGAGATGTAAATTTTTACCTACATATATATGTAAGTCTTCCGTTTACACAAATTAATTGGATTGAATTGTGCGTTATATGTGAGAATTTAAATGTTTTCAAAGAAAAAAAAAGATTATTGTATTGCGCTAGTATGTATATAGGGGAGGCACTCTAAAAAATTTGGGGTGAAAAAGTATTTCATGTAATATGAGAACCATATTCCTATAGTGTGTATGTATGCATGTGTATTTTTGTTTTGTTGTGGTCCCTTATAATCGTTTTCTGTTCTTACACTTTCCTCTAATTTATTTTATTTAAAATAGCCCTAAAATGTTCAAGGCTAAACGAGAAAATGAGAAAACAATTGGCACTTTTTAACAAGCAAAGTACTCACTTGAAAGAAGGCCGCTACTGAAATCGAGAATATCGTCAAAGAATAGCAAAGATTGCAGCCTTCTTTGATGTGACCTACATAAATTCACATGTACTCGTACATACATACATGCGCT